TTGTGGGTGGGACATTTTTTAACAAATTCCTCCTTCTTCATTAGGTAGCTTTTAATAACGTTGTTTGGCTTCCAAGTCTCTTGTGTATTACCTTTTGTTGTTAAGAATTGTTTTGGTTCAGTGATATCTACTATTTCATACAAATAGTCAGTAAATAAAAACTAATAGTTACTACTTCTTTGATTTTGTTTCACGGTGCAAGTGTGATGACTCTAGAAGGCCTGTAGTTCATGATTTGCTTTGGATAGATTAAATGGCTTGTGTATCATAACATAAGTCACAATAAGATTGATAAATTCGCCGGTATTTTTCAAAAAGCCCATTCCGAAAACGGTCGACATCTTTTAGTGTGGCTATACCGCGAATTGTATTTGGATTTGTAATAGATTTGAGCGTATTTTTTTGAAGAAGAAGCAATACCATAACTCTATCGACGAAGAAGCTGATTATTGGAAGACTGAATTGCATGATTTATCATTGATTGACGGTATAGCCTGGCCCATTATTGAATTTGTTCATTGCGGTTTAGGATGTTTGAATCTTTGTTCAATTACATTATAGCTTAGACCTAAATGTTTGTTGATGGATTTTGAAGGGTTAATCTGTGGCTTCCGTACCTGACTGAGTTACATAAGAAATGCAGTTGAGAGACTATGCCTATTGTCTATCATAGTTCTTTAGTGTTAATTGAATCTACACATCATTTTCTTCTTTAARCCTTTTCTTATCTTCTTAATGCGTAGTGATATGATGAAGGGGTTGATCAAAGACTGCAGGTGAATGATCGTTGCCGAAATTTCTTTTGCAATGTATTGAAAATCTTGCGTAACTTCTTTTCCGTTGACAGCTTGTATGATAGAGACAGTGATAAAAGGAAAATAGAATATGACAGAGGTGAGTACTAAAATACCCATTGTAAAGGCTCGCTTATACTCTTTGATCTGTTGCTTTTGTTGCTCAGTGCGATCCTGCTGCGATTGCTGAGATGTAGACATTGCTGCATTGGATATTGTTTTCCTTTTGTAATATGCCGTTATGTGTACTCTGGCAGTACAGTATATGATGACAAGAGTGTTTCCTAAAATGAACTTGATGAATGGTACTTGCTTAAAGGCTCGGGAGTCATTCAAAAGCATTCTAAGGGCCAACATGATTGTCGGAGTACATATCCATGTGGCAACAGTTATAGTCATGACCCTCTTGGTTTTAACGTGGACGTAATGGAAGATGGGAAGCTGTATAGCAAGATATCTTTCTACGCTTTGAATCATCAAAGTACATAATGTCATCCCAGCGCAAAACACCATTGCTAACATGTACACTTCAAATAATAGGCATGGTGGATCGGGTTCTTTGGTTAAACTTACAAGGAATTGGCAGTACAAGGGTTCTACTACTAACCCGACAAGGAGATCAGTCACAGCAAGGGACACCAGTAAGGTATTGTAGGTCTTTGATCTCAGCTCATGATCTCCTAAAATTGTCCAGACCATCAAGGCATTAAGAACTGCTGTAAAAGGGGAAGCGATTCCATTGATAATAGCGAGGGTGGTCCATACTGGGACTACAGTATCGGGTAAATCGGTGATATTGTAATTTTCGAAGTCTACTGATATAAAACAAGTCGATGTGCTGTTTGATGTAGACATTGCAAGTAGTAAAGGACAACTCAAGTCTGTTTGAGGCTCACTGTTGTTTTGTGTGGACAAGGAAAAGAGTGGGAGGAGGAGATTGAGATTTTCTTTTATTCATTTGCTTTTATACTCTCTTTGTTTCAAAGATAACGTACTATTCTCGAGCACTATAATGAAGACATTCATTCTGACACTTTAGAATTTGTGTGTCAATGAAATCCAGTGTTTGTATAGTTTGAAACAATTCCAATTTAATATTACTAAAAGTAAGCCGTGTTTGAAACGATGAAATTAGTAGCTATTATGTTTATTTTGGATTTGAATTCTGAGGAAGATTGAGACGACTCTTGAAACTAAATTGCTTTCTTCGTGTATGTTCCTAGATATTGTTAGCGTTTTTTTGAGGCATAAAATGGTAAAGTAACCGAAAATAATGTTCATTACAGCTGCCGCCGAAACCTTAACAATGCTGTGAATCAAGAAAAAAGAAACTTGAAATGGCAATACAATGTTGTAATTACGACTTCATTTAACCTGGATATTACTTCTTGTTCGCAGATTTAGAAAATGTGGGAGTAGAATACAATAGCTATCTCTCCAATTGTGTAATTTTCTCTAGTTTGTCCAAGCACGGAATTGCTATTGATATTTAAAAGGATTTCCATACATTAGGAAGTTTTAGGTATAAGATTTTTGCAATGTTAACAAGAACCACTTCGTGGAACATACTGTATCCAGGTTACGCTAATGTGTATTTTTAACAGGGCCGCGATCGATTTGAGAGATTTTGATCGTATGATCTTTACACATCATTTTCAGAATATTTTTATTATTGCAGCGAAAATTTAGCATTCAGATGGCATTTGCATTATCCTCAAAGAACTTATATGATGAAAGTTTGCTTTGCATAAAATGATTTTAGAAAGAAAAAAAGAACGAGTATATTTTAAAGTTAAAGAAAGAAAGAAAAATAATTGTTTAGAGGCTGCTTGAGTCGAGAATCGAACCCGAGATCGTCAGTTCAACGCCACTATTCAAGAATGATCTTTCGTGTAAAATATTATTACAATTATTATTATTGTAATGCTTAGTTCATCATTGGATGACTGTACAGCTTAGTTCATCATTGGTTGATTGTATAGCTTAGTTCATCATTGGATGACTGTA